CATTTAAATTAAAAAAATCGATACTAAGAAGCGAAAGATCGATATTATTTTGGGCAGCCGAATATCACAATATATCGCCAACACGATTATTTCCCACACCCCTACTTTCTACTAAGTCTTTTAACATTTTTGTTAGATTACAGCCACAAACTGAATATCTGAATATTATGACACACAAACAGGAATGTCAATTATATGAAAAGGATGCATGGAAAAGTCTTACCACATAATTTTATTTTGAGTTTTAATTCTAGACTCTGACTGGGCCACTTTAATACATGACCATTGTTTGCTGTGACCTAGCAGTCAATTGTCACCTCTGCTAAATGCTAAGAGATGTTTTTCTGCTGATAGATGAACACTGCGACTCTGTGTTAAAATACATTTAGCTCCCATCAACTTAAATGTAAAAGGCCAAAAAGCAAGCAAAAACCATCGCCGCAAACTCATCCAGGAGGAGCAGGTCTTGCAAATCAATGACTGGATGCAGTCAGCTAGTTTTCTTGACAGAAAATTTTAACCAATCTGACTGTATTGTCTCTATAAAGTACCTTGAGATGACATGTGTTGTGAATTGATGATATATAAACAAACTGAATTGAATTAAACCGGCTTACCTGTCCATGCTAAAGAGAACTTTATCCATAAACGTGATGGTAAAATTTTCACCATGCAGTGGTGTGTTCTGATCAAATTTGATGGCATCTGAGGGCAGCATTTCTTTGACTCCCAGGTCCCTTGTGGTAAACTTGAAGCATTATTTCTTATTATTACCTGTAAAGAATACTTCTTTATAAAGGCTCGATTAGTGAAGTGCATGACTAATGCTTTTCAGGTAAGAAGATTGTCTCACCTGAGCCCGGGGTCTCGGCCCGGTTTGTTGTTCTTCACTGCTCCTGTGCTGTTCTTGATTCAGTAATTTTTTTTTTTTTTAACTAACCTCTTGCATCCTTCATATGCAGGGGAAATAAACCTATTTTTGCTGAGATTTAACTGTGCATAGTGGGGCCTTGTGTTGGATTCAAGTGACTTCTGAAGGAATTTTTCTGCACTGGGACTTTGGTGGTTAAAGGGGGGAAATTAAATTCAAATAAGATACATTAGCTTTTATATGTAATGAGGCAAAATGTGAACAAATTAGAAAGAAAATGTACCTTACGTTATTTTAGCTTTATACTGCACTCACTGTCAACAAGGCTGATGGAGAATTCAATTTGCTGCAAATGCCAAAATTTAGCTTTTTTTGGCATTTGCTAATTAGCAACCTTTTAGGTTGCTAATTAGCACATAAATCATAAGCTGTGTTTACAACCATGTTTTTGACTCACAGTGTGGTATCTGATGCTCTGGTTCTGTTTGTCTACTGTTTTTTGCAGGTTTTTCAAAACGAGAGGAACCAAAGCAGAGAGAGAGATCACAGAGCGACCAAAAGCAAAGACAGAGAGCGAAGCAGAGATGGGGAGCTCCCTTTAACAGCGAGCCAGACGGCAGCACGAGACAGAGCTATCCAACAGAAGAGGAGAGAGATAGATGAGGTGGGGGAGTGTAATTACACAAACAATTCACCCACATGTCTTGGGAGAGGAATAGTTATAAAGTGATAGAGGAAGAGCAAATAAAAAATAAGGGGAGATTAGATGAAGAATGTCAGGGTGCAGATCTGAAAAAGCGCTGGAAGATATGAGACAGGCAACAAAAGATTTATTTTCTCTGGTATGAACATTCATTTTGTAGTGCCGAGTGTCATTACTGCGTTTTGTTTTGCCAAGCCACACCGCAAAGGCCTTGTTCGCAGTTTAACATGACATGGTGCTTTTCTTTCATGCCCTTTGTTTTTTTCACCAAATTGATAAAAAAAAAGCATGACAGGCTCACCTGTATAACAGACCCAGCACGTGCATTAAGGTTGCCTTCAATGTGACATGCATCACATGAGGCTATGCTCATCAGCTCTCTGTTTATGTCAGCGCGTCTACTTGTGTTTCCACCCACTTGATGGAGGAGATGCTTGGTTCCTTTTTTTTTTTTCCATATCTCCATGGTTGCAGGGATGTAGAAGCACTGCAGCAATGAAATGTAAGGCTTTTGATGGGTGCTGATGCAAAAATGTCCATAACAGGTGCTGGAGAGATGATGCTTGTTAAATCCTGTGAATCGTGTGCATATTAATGTCTTCAGTTGTAATATGAAAATCATTTAAGTCTTTTTTTTATTTCCTCCAACAATTCTTATCTGTTTCCCTTTGCCCTAAAGGTCTCATTATTTTTGCCTTTCAGGTGTACTACCAGGAGTGTGAAATGTTTGGCCTTGTAGCAAAGATGCTAATTGAAAAGGATCCATCCCTGGAGCGTCCCATCCAGTCGTCACTGCAGGAGAACCTCCGGGATATTGGCAAGCGCTGTGTGGAAGCCATGGAGAGATTTATTGAGGACTATGACTCTAGGGAACTTTTGCACTAATCACACACATGCCTTTATGTCTTTAGCAACAGTGGTTTGGTTTCCTTTGACTGATTAAAGCCTGTTGTGTTTTCTTGTTTGTAACCTTCTCAAAGGTTCTTAAATGCTGCTTGACAACATTTTTAACTGTTTCTAGTCTATTACTTTTGAATGATGAAAATGTTAAGCTGGAGATCATGTAATTGTAAAAAACAAACAAACCCCAAAACACTGGTCATTTTGAAATAAAATAAAACTGGAAGACTGTGTATTAATGTCATATATAATGTATTCCAACTTGGCAGTTTTTAAAATATTGTTTTATATTTCCTTTGTTGCATATAAACCTTTGGTGAGACTGTATATATTTTTAGAAACCTTTGCAGGTCATGGTGAAATGTAAATGGGTCAGTTGGTGACTAGGATACATGGAGTGCTGCTCTCTTTTCATATTTGAGCAAAGAACATCACCCTTTGATGTTGATTTGATCTAAAATAAATGTCAGCTGATGGCAGGAGATGGCATCACATTATCATATGACTGGCTTCATAGTAAAATGCCATACAAAACATAAACATAAAGGTGGAAAAGAGGGAATAACTGCTGAATTGGTGGTTGGAAAACCTGTTTGGTCCACTAGCAAATGAAAAAAAAAAAAACCTCACCTTTAGTCTTCTATAAGTATCTTGTAAAAATGTATGTCTTCTTCCATTATCTAACTTATGGAAACTCAAGAACAACAGCTTCTAGAGATGATTATACAAAAAACAACACAGGAACAACACTGAACATCATCTTCATAAGACAGTGGTACAACAACAGAGTGTCTTCAGTCAGAAGTTTCTACCCTACAGCCTTTAACTCAAAGATTTACAACAAAAAATAAATTCCCCTTTGGAATCAATAAAGTACATTTAATAAAATTTTGATTTAAGTACTAATCTTGTTGAAACCGGCTTAACATTTTGGCCATCTGTTTAAAATTGATGTGTGTTTATATATGAAGAACTGCACACTACTTGGATGTAAAATAATTGCCATCATGGCTTTGTTAAGCTGCTGCCTACCTTTGTGAAGCAGGAAAAAAACTAATACAAACTAGTGAATCCAGCAGAACGTTTTATTGCCTACCTGGAATGGGTGACAATAGTTGAATAAACTTTTGGTTCTCAAAATGGTATCTGTGCTCTATTTGTCGGTACTCGCCGATACCAATATCACCATTTTAGTGCTGGATCGGGGCCCCGCCAGATACTGGTATAGGTATCAGTGCAACACAAATTTTGGCAAACATGAGCCCAGACATACTTGTCCCAATTATCAAACTTACATTTAGAAGACATATGAACGATCAGTTATGTAGTCCATGACTTTCAACTTCTGATACCTGCTATTTTTACACCTGGGAGCCTTTATAGCCCTTAAAAAATGTACATTTATGTGTGCATGACTTTCAAAACTGCATTTAAGTTTATGCACTTTTTCTATAAGACTCTTGTGAAACTACATACTGTTGCATGTTCCTATCTATGCCATGTGACTAATTCTAGCACACCTGTAATAAAATATTCAAGAGAAGTGCAGTTTAGGAATCAAGGTTTGATTTCCTTTGGATGGTTTTCCTTGGATAGAAAACCTTGAACCAATATGTCTGTTTGATCTGGTTTAAAAGGACGTGATGTAAATTGATGCTGTATAAATAAACTGAATTGAAATTAAATGATTTCTGCAAAATGTATGGCCATTTTAAAACATTACAAAGTCATGTTGTAGAGTAAATATGCTAGCCTTGGAAGACTGGTAAAAAAATTCCCTTAAACACACTAAATCTTGGGGACAGCCTTCCCATAAGAGCTGAAGTTGTTCTAGCAGCAAAGGGTGGACTGATACCATATTGAACCCCTATGGTTTAGCAATGTATATATATATATATATATATATATATATATATATATATATATATATATATATATATATATATNATATATATATATATATATATAGTATATATGTGCTTGGAACAACGACAGTCAGTCCCTCTCACTAATGTGCATACTATGAGCAAAATAGTACAGTACAACTTATGTTACAGTTTCCTGGTTAAAGTACACTTTATTTTAAGTATGTGACAACAACAACAAAATTCACATGCAAGCCTCCCAATTTCTGTAATGTTATACAAATAATGATTCTTTTGTTACAAAATATATAAATATTTAAGACAATATGTACAAAACATTTACAGTACTTTATTTATTATTAAAGTTTATTACTATATATACATTTAGCAGATATTGTCTGTAATATTATTATAATTATTGTTTGCATTAGTATTATTATTGGTAGCATCATTATTATTAATAATATCAAGTAATTATTCTTAACCATCTAGTAAAACAAAGCATGTTGCAGAAAAGAAAACAGGACCATACCTAACGTTACTGTGCCTGAATGGGCAAGGAGCAGAGGCTGCCTGGCGCTCTGTCCTTGGTGAAGCATGGAGAGCTGGCTATGTAGAGCACAAGGTTCAACAGGTTTTTATTTTTGTACAAGGTGAAAACAGGGCTAGCAAGCCGACACTATATTCCAGCATTATTTGGATTCCACGGAGGTAAACAATCACATAGCTTGGAATCTAGCACATAGCTTTCACTATCCCAGCACAACTTCTTGACGGTCCGTGTGGTTGCAGTTTGATGCTCAGGGCTTGGTTCTCTGAACTGTGGAGTTAACTAGCAGATTGCTGCAGCTTTACTTTCCGTTTCAGACTAAAGGAATTGTCCAGTTCTCTGTAACATGAATACACTCACAGACAGACACATACATACACCATGTTATTTACCTTGACCACGGCATATTAAGCGATCCTTAATCAGTGCTTCCTGGTGCCATCATTGACTTGGTCTCAGTCACTGTAAACATTCTTGTTGTGTAAGCCAGCTTAGCTTCCTCTTATGATTAGATCATTCTGTGTAGGTGTACACAACCATAACCCAGTGTAGAGTTGTGTAAGCTCACAAGCCTAAAAAGATTGGCTTCTTTTCCTCAAACCCTGCCAAACACAGAAAAGCACACACCCTGCACACACTCTCACTCTCAACTGTCTTACTCTCACCTTCCCACTCGTTCTGCTCCTCCTCTCAAGCACCTCTCTCTTCTTACCTTTCTAATCTTTTTCCCTCTCCTTTTCTTCCCTCGTCATCTCCTTGCTATATATCTAGGAAATTATACAGTTTTTGCTCTTCCTCCTCTGGCGGTTGTGTAGCTGACCATGAATCGGTCCATGCAGAGGTCCGTGATGGGCCCCTATTCCAGATGGGCTGTAGCGGTGGCGTAGCTCCTCATTGTTGATGTAGCACAGCTGCACGGGCCGAGGAATTGGTTCATTCAGGTAATACCCCTCATCAGCCTCAGATTCAGAGGAAGAGGAGCAGCTGGAACACCATGGGTCCGGAGCCTCCATGTAGCCATCATTCCAGCACGGCCCACCCAATCCCACAGGTTGCCATCCGGCATTCTGCAGAGTAAGATCAGAGGTGGTGCGTGGGCAGGGCCGGTGGGCCTGTTGCCTGTAGCCTCCCGACTCTAGACCGTACAACTCTCGAGCAGCTTGACCGGAAGGGAAGCGGTCATAATCCTCTTGGACACGGCGGTAGGGAAGCTCCATCATTTGAGTGGGACGGTCCGCCACTAGGTGCAAGGCATTGTCAGAGCGTGAGCGCCGTGAGCGTTTGTGGTGCCGACCACTGCGGTGGTGACCGCCACCATTGGTCCCACGATGGTGTTTGTGGGGTCTTGCTTGTGGCTGCTGTTGTTGGGAAACTGACTCCTGGACGTTTATGCGCCGGCGAGGCATTCTGTCACTCATGGGAGCCATTCGCAGGTTCCCGCTGCTGCCCATTAATCCAACACGACCTTTACTGCCAAAGCCAAGCTCTTGGGGGCCATCCCAATACTGTAGTGGATACCCTACCCTCAGTGGAGTGTACATGTTGTTGTTGTAAGGGCGAGAGGAGGACAGCGACTCTGTGCTGTGGAACTGGACTGAGGAGCTGAGGGTGCCCATGTTGCTCTTCTCAGACACGTTCACCCCTGAGTCCTTGCTTAAGTCAGGCATGGAGAACCTTGATAGATGCTCCTGGCGCTTAGTGGCCCCATCCAGAGAGTTACCTAACAAAAGAGGCAATCAATCAGAGACATGTAAGTGATTATGGCTTATAGCTAATCCAACCTAACATTTAATTGCTCAGAAAATGGAAACATTACATAACAACAATGTTTGTTTTAATTTTTTCTTATTACATTTTCAGCCTAATCAAGTAAAACACCAATTTGGACATGGTTTTGAGGAAAGACTACATTTTAATAAAAGCTCAATTTTTTTTATCTTTACTTATCTTAGTTTTGTCTCTCCACATTCTGTTAACCCAAGATTCGTTTTCTTTCATGTATTCTCTTGTCTCTACCTATCCCTGTGGTCCTTTCTTTAGGTTTCTTCACTTTCTTGGACTTTTTAGCCATTTCAGTCTGTTGTACACACACAGTTTTCCCTTCAGCTCCATGCTCTCCCTCAGCTGTATTCAAACTGGTAAATAGAACCATACATGTCCTTCCTAGCATTCCTCCCTGCAAGAATTTAGTATCTGAGTTTCATCCATTCCTCATTTGGCTCTTTGGTTCTCTCTGGGCTTTATGAGACATAAATATAATAAAAATCTTTTCTTTTTCCATATGGTCAGTGTCATATCACAATCATGATACTATCTCATTCTGCATTGGGGTCTTTTACAAACACAAACCATTACAGAGATCAACGTTTACACTGCACAATCTCCTGGTCTACAGCTGTGCTGATGTCTGATCTTTTTGCTGTGAAATTTTCATAGAAAATTAATTTAGAGTAATTCTTAATTACAAGCAAAAATCACACTGATTAAACTTGAAAGTTCTGTACGTTTAAAAAAATCTGGATTATGATTTTTCTTTTGAAATGAACTAAATAATGTTTAACTATTGTTCTTTTAATCTACTGGGTTGCACCTGTATATGTTTAAAACACATTGCATCATTTATTACCTGCAGTATTGGACATAGTGATGGAGTCCATAGATCCACGAGGGGTCTGCTCTAGTGGAGTAAGGGGCTCGTTGAAGCTCATGGCGGTGATATGGTTTCTCCTCGTCAGTGGGGGTCTGCCATCTCTCTGGAATCCATGAAGACTGATGCTCCTCTTGTCAGAGAAGCCCTGATTCTGGCTAGACATCTCATTAAAGCTCATCTGGGTACGGAGCTTGTTGGGTCTAAACTCATCCTGACTGTGGTGAATCCAGTTTTCATTAAAGGAGTGGCCCCTGAGGGCAGCCATAGGGGTCCTTTTGGCATTGCCTTGCTCCTTCCCCCAAGAATCAGGTCTCTTGCCTGGGTTGGCAGGACTCTGGGCAGGTGGATGAGCATTTGTGCTGGGATTGTATCCTTGCCGGGCATTACACTGACCCAGTAGATGTATGGGTGCAGGGGTTGGAGAAGGATCTCTCTGAGGGCCCTCATAAGAAGCCGGGATATATGGCTCATCCCTGCTCATCCACACTTGGTTAAGGCTTGGGGCCCGACTTGGAGTACGGCTTGGTGTGCGGTTAGGTGTCCTGCTTGGAGTCTGGCTGGATGAAAGGCTTAGTCGGTCCATTGGAACAGAGAGGGGATCTATTTCAGCAGACAGGCGGTCTGGCATGGGTGGAGGAGCTGCCTGGCGAGACTCTGTGCTCCTACGATCCTGCTCGGCATTCCTACGCTCCTTCTTCCCTATCTTGGTGCTGTGGCGAGATTCTCGAGAACGAGCACTTTGGAAGGCAGAGTCAGAGGAGTCAGACTCCTCGGGATCCTGATTCATGCAAAAAAAAACAGATTTGTTCAATCAAAACAACATTAAAAGAAGCTAGTGTGAAATCATCAAGAAAACACTACACATCTAATAACATTTTAGTTGTTTCCAGACTCCATACCTGTCCAGCACTGCAGGACCGTGAGCAGAAGATCTGCCCCTGCTTTGGGAGGAAGGGGCGGCCCAGCAGGGAGCGCTTACAGCGGGCACAGCAGAAACATTCCTCAGTGGCGTGCCAGTGCTGTCCATCATATGTCATCTGACCTTGATCAATTCCTTGGTTCAAATAGGAAACAAAAATAAATAAATAATTTGAAGAACATTCCTGGAATAAATAGAAATATATTTTTCACTTGTAATATGTGCTTTGGGTGAATAAGCATGCTTCTCTATTCCATTCTAACCAGCAGATTAACCTCTTGTTATTCTTCTCTCCTCAAGTCAAACAACTGTGATTCTGTGCCCTTACATGATTGCTTGATTTCAAAGATAGCACAAAATACATTTCACAAGCACTGCTTTTAGACTGGAGGAAGTAATCATCTTTCACAGCTCCCATCTGGTTACAGTTTGGGGGCACTCTCTGAAACCCACTCTCACTGTTAGTGGAGCTGGGATGATAATAACCATCCACATCTCTCCGCACTTGATCCGCCTCTCTGCAGCTGTGCCCCATGGGGCTTGGAGCTGATACTAGTCACACATACATTCATTATGTTGGAGCTGCTGTACAACAGTGTAGAAAGAAAGAAACATGTCCAAGTGTTTTGTACAGATGCATTATTGTAGGTGTGTGGTACCTATATGCTCTCCACAGGCATCACAGTACTCCGCATAAAGAGACTCGAAGCAGTTGCAGCAGTGTGGCCGTCCATCCTTCATAATGTAGCGCTGGCCGCCGAGGGTGGTCTCGCATTCATAGCAGCAGAAGTGCTTCATGTGCCAGTGCCTCCCCTCAGCCTCGGTGCATTCATCAGCAAATATTAACTGTGTGGATCAGATATTACAGTAATAAGCAAACATGCAAGGACAAGTGTTTATCAGGTTTTGTGTAAATATTTCTTAAACTGATGTTTAGGATTGAAGAACACACGCTGTGTTGAGCTGGACCCAACTGGGTATTCATCCAATAGGCTGTTTCTTTTTGATCACCGCTTTCTATGAAATCTAATGTTTTTTTTTTTTTCAGTGTTTCCCTTTTTTTTAGAGTTTCAAAACAAATGCACATCAGACAAACTTTGTAAATAAGAAAAGCAGTATTTTGTTTACAATTACACATCTACCAGATTTTACTCCCTGAAGAATCAAGAGATTGTCTATATACTGTAGGACTAGTCTAACATTAATTAGGCTACTTGATCTTCAAAAGTCATCCATTCTGCCCCAGTATGAAGACATCTATGAACAGATAATAAAGTAATCTCTCAGTCTTCAGAGAGAGAGGGCCATTATCAACAAAGCATGGCACAGCAGTGACCCCTCCAAGTTGTTACTTGCCTTAAAAACATTACTTCTAAGATGAGGTTACTGTACAATTAATTCAAGCGACAAGGTCCCCACATTTGGTTGCTGTGTTCCTTGACAAATGGCCAGCATTTTGCATGGCAGGTGACATAAATTTGCATGACGGGTGTCAAACCATATTCTGTGATCTATCATATATTATTGCTGGAATGTGTTCTGTTGTGAATTCTACTCACCACTCATCTGTCTACTAACCCTAACATCACAGGGTTCATATCCAAACCTAATGTCACAAGATTTATACCTAAAAGAAGTTTATGGTAAAATACATGTTATGCTCCAGTCAGCTACAATATATGATGGGTCACAGACTATGATGGTTTCAACTCAGCATGGAAGACCTGGATTTTCCCTCGTAGCTTCTGGACTCTAACTGGAAGCATATCTGGAGATCAGGTAGACCAAGGGACATAATAATAAATGAAGCACAGTCCCTCACTTGGTAAACTCCAGGTGCATGAATCTGCAGAGCAGTAGACAGCTGATAGGAGATCTTTAGTTGATGATGCTAAAGGAGTGGAGCTTGTTGTCTGTCATGTAAATTGCTGGCGATATGTCAAGCGAACGACAGCACCTGAATGCAACCAATTTGTCCCTGCAATCTTGTTTGATGTAAATGCACCAAACAGTGACTCATGAAAGAGCCCAGATCATCACCTGGACCACCAAAGATCTTACCTTTTCTGTTAAGGTCAAAGTTCAAGGTTAAAAAAATAAGAGAAACTCAGTGACTGAAAATAGCACAAATTTCTGCCCCACATTTCAATAAATGTTTACCAAAAAATTATTTGCCAAAAAAACTGATGTTACTGTTACTGATATTAGAGTTAGTATGATGATTTGAAGTTATGTTTAAGTAAAAAGAACAATCAAACAAATATTTTATAACATTTTCACTATATAGTACAAAAATCTTTTGTCCCATTTAACAAATGCAAGTGTGTTATTTTTCCACTTTAAGTTTCTTTCTACGTTTCTATTTTCTGAGGGCCTAAGAAGAGCAGCTCTCAAACATTTGGACACTTTCGATGTAAAAAAACCAACAAGCTATAATGAACAGATGTATTTTAGCTTTAGGCTTCTCTTTCTATGACAAAATGACATGGCATCTGTGGGTGGGACTGTTAAAAAAAAAACAGGGATCCTGTCTGTTCTGAGAAATCATGACTCATAAATTAAATCATAGTGAAAAAAATAATAAACAAGGCCAAGAAGTTTTACAGAGCTTAGAAGTATAAAGGCATGTAGTGTGTTGTATTTCATGCTCGCTGCAACCGAATCAATGGCCAGATGGTCTACTCTCTGAAGACTGAAAATCCCCATCTGCTCATGTATATATGTATAAGAAAAACGTCGGACAAAAATATATACACCGAACTCATCTAGTTCTATTTAAAATGCATACTTCTTATACATTGCCTTGCAAAACTAGTCCGTCCCTTGCATTTTAAAGCAATATACTGAGAATCTTTAGAAAAAAGTAAGAAAAAACTATTATTTGTAATTGTTCAACATATTAAAAGTGAAAGATTTAGCTTCTCTAAATCTGATACAGATCAATGAAATAATCCACTTATTTGTTCTAATTATTTAATAAATGCCTACAGTAGAACACACTAGCGAGGTCCCACATCTAACTTGCTATCTGTTGTGGAAAACTAACATTGTATGTCACTGAAAAATGGTAGTGGCAGTATCATGCTATGGGGAATTTTTAACCTTGGCTGGACAGGGAAGCTTGACAGAGAACTCATGCACCCATAGAACATGCAAATTCAATGCAAAAAGACTAAAGGCCAGGATTTTAATCCCGACTTTCTTCCTTTGTGTCTACAGTGCTACCACCTGCATTTGGCTTTTTAACCAACAGATTTTCACTATTAGTAAAAAGATTTGTATCAATGAAAACAATTCTGCATTAAAAGCTATACATTCTGCCTTGCTAAAAACATTTACCTGGATCGCAATGATTCTAGAAAGTTAAAGCACTTTACCTTTGTGAGAGGGAACCAAATAGCTGGCTTAGTTCATAACAATGAAGCATTTTTTCTTCCTAAACAAGCTGTAAAAATTTTTGTTCACTCACCTCATCACAGGCACAGCAACGTGGTTTCAGCCTCTCGGCGTGGTGCCGGCCACAGTAGACCTTCCCATCCTGGATGAAGTAGATGAGATCCACCAGTAGCTCCTCACATGTACAGCAGACAAAGCAGCGAGGGTGCCAGCATTGTCCGTGCCCTGCCCTGGCAGCGAAAACTACAATGTCTCCTCCATTTATCTGACCACCACACTGTTAGAGAGGAAGAGATTGAAGAGAGGGAATTAAAGGTGAGGAGAAGATCAGAAAAGAGCAATAGGTAAAGCAATTAAATCAAGTAAAAAAGAATAAGAAAACTTCTAAAATATTCTGATATCCATTTGTACTTTAACAAAAGTAGGTCACAAACTCAAATAGAGGAACACCTCCTTTGGTTACCTTCTCACAGACCATTCCAGTGATAGTGACTGGGAAAGGACGAACATTCCCTCTGCCTAAGTTGTCTTTTTTCCGTTGGTTGCTGAAGATCTTAAGCTCCCGTTTCTCTTCCTCATCCAGCGCATTACAGTAACGTACCTGAAACACCACAGGTCTTCATCTTTAGACCTCATTAAAACTTGAAATAGTTACTAATATCAGATGTATTCAATTATCATTTACAACGGTAAGAAATGTGAATTAATGGAAGAAAATTTTACCTCATTGTCATGTGGGGGCAACTGGTGAAGCAGCTGCTTGATACGATATTTCTCCCCTGGGCTGTTTATGTAGGGAACTTTCTCCTCTGGTAAAGAATTGTAATATTGATGCACCTAAAACACACAAAACAAAAAAGATTTAGATATCTGTTTTTAAGTTTTGAAAATGTCTGATGTTATCTCAAATATTCATGCGCAGCACTGTAAAAATAATTTACGTTCTTTTGTTTGCTTTTTTTTTGTTACACTTGACATTTCCATTCTAACAAAAATGTTAACATTAGACCATAATAACCTGAGATAATTGCCAAACCTAACTTGTAGTGCGTCATAAAAAAAAGAAATAAAAAGCTTGTTTTCACAAGCGAAACCTAGACATGATTACTGTTCTGTCAGTAGACATCAAATAACCCATACTCAGATGCCATCCCACCAGATTAAAAAAACAGAACAGACTGGGCCCCAAATTATTCTGAAAATGCTTAAAAAATAACGAAGAATTCCACAAAAGAAAAAACCCAAACAAAGTCAATAACAGTGCAGACCTCAGTTTAGATCGATGTTTATGATAAGAGGTGGAGCAGAATTGGAATACAAGAAGGAATCCCAGAATTACGGCTTACCAAAAATAAAACAAAATTCTCCCTTTTAATTCCAAAAAAGCCCCCAAAAACTGATGATTATTTAGAAATTTAGAATATATTTTGTATACACTGGTTGATGTTTTTGAATAGCCTGCATCCTAATACATCTTATGCAAAAATAATAAAATTTCAGGGAAAAATGACTTGTCCTTTTTGGCCAATCTGAATCAGTTTGAGCTATTAAGCAAAGTAGAATAGGCAAAAATATATATATATTTTTAAAGAAAATGCAAGCAACATTGAGTTAGTGTTTTATATAAATGCATTTCTATTTTTCAGAAATGAAAACCACAAATACTTTTCCTTCTATCACAATTCCCTACTATTTAGTGATGTCTGCTACATAAAATCCCAATAAAGTACCGGTATGTTAAAATTCAAAAGGAGTGAATACATTTACTAGTTGGTGTTTGTGACTGGAATTAATGTGAAGTTGTTCACATATCCTGGTTTATTTTATTAATGCATGCAACAAACCATTTTAAATGAATATGAGATTGCATTTAAATGAATTTGTTACGCCCTTCATGCCAACAGAACCTGTTTATGTCTTGCCTTCAATCACTGTTGCCCTCTGAGGTCAGTGTCTGGAGCTGAAAGTGAATGAGCTCTGTGCTCTTGCAGCTGCAGACTCAACCTAGAACAGAATGTGCCCCTTTAAACTTTTAACAGCTAATAATCATGTTGCTTAAGGCAAATCCCCATACTCTTGCTGCAGTTTTAATTAATCATGCAGCAACCCCTTGTCTTTGTCCTGAACCTCCATTAGTGTATGCATGTTTGTAGACAAAAGTAAGAAAAAATAACAAGAAAAAAGGGAAAAACTGGTTAGTGCTTAATAGTTAAACATTTTCGGGATGGAAAGCAATCTTATACCTTGTCAGATTTTAAGTAAACTGAACTCTAAATCAAAATTGCTTTGTGCTCTGTCAAGTTTTTCAGATAGCAATTACATAATTAACAAGGTGTCTGTTTAAATTCTGAGTCAACCGGGTCATGGCAACCACAAAATCAGGCTTAAATTGGAAGGCAACCTGACTTTCTGACATTTTTTTTTGTTTGAATAACTAGGATAGATGGGTGTCAAACTGTCTTCAAAAACACTGAGCAAAAGTCCAGTTGCCTTTCAATTTAAGCCTGTTGTGTGTGAAGCAGCAAAACTGGAAAATCCCAATGATAAAGAAACTGCCTTTCTGCTGTTTGTATTAATTTTTACTATACTATACTATACTATACTACACTACACTACACTACACTATACTATACTATACTATACTATACTATACTATACTATACTATACTATACTATACTATACTATACTATACTATACTATACTATAC